AAACATTTTAGATAATCAACCAGGCTTTATTCAAGCTAAAACCGTACGTACGTGTTTAATTCAAGCTGCTTTGGACTTGACCATATCGGATCACCCTTAATGTGCTTTCGACGTTTCTTGCCAACGTTTTTTCCCCATTAGGTTCAATTAGCTTTATCTATCATCGGATTAGTCAGTTACGGAACACTCGAACCCTCTATATTACATCAAATCACGTGCCAGCAAAAAATGTGACGAGTCATAGCGTTTGGATGATGAGAAAAAGTTAAGTACCTCATTCTCTTTATGTACATAATGGGACTATTTATTTGTATAATCACATAGGTGTCTAACAAATTAACATTTAATTATTAATTTAAAATGTAATATGTACTTGTACTTGTGGCCAGTAGTTATAAAGAAATGATCAATCTGTTTTTCACACGCCTTGGAAGACCACACACAATACAAGTTTGTTCGCGGTAGAAGCTGGTGTCAATAAATTTTAGTGTAAGTACTTATTTAGATATTAACAATATCTTCGTGTGTGTATTTCCGTTCTTTTCACAGCCAGGATGTCATAATAGGCAACTAAAGGAAAAAAGTACAAGAAAGAAAAGGAAATTTTATTAAAAATAACGGATGTTCTCAGTATTCGATGTACATCTTACTAATATAATAAAATTGTAAATAGATAATATCTGCACATAGAAGATATTATATATATATATATATATATATATATATATGTCTTAAGTAATCAATATATTCAATTGAATATATATAAATCATTATATTTTTAAGAGTTTTTGTGTGTTTTATTATGCTACTTAGAATGGCAAACAAGCTGACGGCCCATCTGATGGAAAGTGGTAACCGTCGTTTATAGACATGAGCAGTATTATGGACATAACAGAGTATACTGTTTCGCCCATGATACCTCACATGCGTTGTCATTCCTGAGGACTCAGGTGTTATTTATCTGTACACTGTAAATTCACTGCCATATCCCATCCTTCAAACCGAAACACAGCCATGCAAACACAATTGCTTCACGGTAGAATTACGAATGGGACAGAGGTACCCAAGCAATTGACTTTTGTATAAAGTCTCTATTGTAATCTTTTGAATGAAAAAACAAATATTTATCTTGCTTGCGTAACGAATTATTGTGTTTGCGTAAATAATTAACTTCAAGGTCATAATCATGTAAACGTATACCTACCATACGTACCAACTATGTGCTATAGGTACATAGGTACAAACCCCACTTCTGTATCAACGACCCACCAAACCTCAAATCACTCTCAGACCACCGGATCATTCGTTACTCGTTTTACAAGCGTATATCGTATGCGACGTCGCTCAAATGTTTTTGGCACGTGTCACTGTTCCCTACCCTCGTTCGTAGCTAGAAAATGTTAGCTATTTCCAAATCCAGTTGGTATTAAGGCATAAATATATTAACTGAGAGACAGCGGAAAAGGAGACATTCTTACTTTCATTGTTTAACTGCTGTAATGTTAAAAGTTACTGTCACAAAAGTAATGATTTCTTTTTCTTCCTTCTTTCTGTCCTTACTGATGTAATAAATGTGAATGCGAGTTCATCTCAATTAATCGTAACCAACCATGGTTTAACATATAGTATACGTAGACGAAGTCACGGGAAAAAGTAGTCCTATTAATATTATAAATGTGAAAATACGTAAGAATGTATAGATAAGCGGATGTTCATTATTATAGGATAGATTCCGATTTTTTTAAGATTTATATAATTACTTATAAATAAAAACGAGTAAAAAAGTAATGTGTTAAACAGATCATACCAGTATCACAACCCAACTTAACCTGCCCGTGGTTTATTTTAATAACTAAAATAAATTTCAGTATAAATAAAAAAAATTTACATGTCGCCAAATTTAATTATAATTATAACGATAATCTTTTCTTCTTAAGGCGTTGATTGATTCAACCATATTAATTATAATACTTGTATTATATTTTGATCTACGTCTTTATTAAAATGTTCATATCATTTATATACGCGAGCAGTTTCAGAACTTTATCTTTAGGCATATTTATAGAAATTATGTATAAATACATTTCTAATAAACTTAAATATATATTCGTATAGCAACATGCTAAATAATATTACGATAACTATTCAGTTATGATTCCATTGTCTATTATCCGCTCCGCTTATGAATGAATCTCTATCTAATGTTGTTCCTTGGTAACATCGTCCTGTGGGAATAAATCAGTTTGTTATTGATTGGTAGTTAGTGACGATTCAGTTAATTCATTTATATGGCAATTTCAGGCCATTACTGTAGGGATCAGCATACATTATGGTAATGCATGTGGGAGACATTATATTGTATTTTTTACAAACAGAATTTTATGTAGTAATTACAAATTATCTTTTTATAATAATACAGATCTTTTTATTTTTATCCGTCTATGTGATATACAAAAAATAATTAAAAAAAAGGCTATTATTTTATAGTTAATTTATTATTAGCCTATATAGGGAAAATATAGTATAGTATTTGCCCTTTATGGACGAATTTAGTAACAAACTAACTCATTTTCACAATTATATTGATGAGGGGAACGATACATTAAGGTTTCACTGCTGTTCCACATTATAAGAGCATACACTTACCATACTAGTCTGAGTGCTTGGTATAGAGTTTAGTTTTGGGTTTAAAGGGGGAAGGGATTGTTAGTGACGGGGACTAGTGACCCTTTCAGCAGCCCCCTTGGAAACCATCACGGTTCATTAGTCATTTTTGATAAATGTGTTTTTTTATGTATTATAATGGAATCGTGCTTCACCTGCGCTAATGGTATTATACGTTGGCGGGGTACCAGTGAGGGATGTTAGGTGGGGATGAAAGAGCAGGTCAGTTAGCGTTATCCAGCGTGATGAATACACCTGGAATTCAGTACGATGGCTTCCAGGGGGACCACGTGGATGTCGACCTGATAAGGTATATTGCTAGTAATAGGACTGGCAGTCCGCATTACTAACAATCCGTTCCTTTCTCCCCTGATGAATGTGTTACGATGGACTAACTGAGTCATCTCACCTGATATTTTTCATTGGTGTCTCGTTAGCTTATATTAATAACACAGGGGGGGGGGGATTCCAGGTGTATTCATCACGGTGGACTAACTAACCTGCCTTTTCATTCTCACCTATCATCCCTTACTGGTGCCCCGCCAGCGTATACTGTTAACACAGGCGGGGTTACCATTTCATTATTATCCATTGACACTAATAGCGCAGGGGGGGGGGGGAGTATCATTACATTTTCATTCATAAAAATATCTCGTTTTGGTTCTCTTGCACTAGTATATTTGTGCTGTATTACCCCCAGACAAGTATTACGATATCTTGAGGCTAAACAAATGTGATGACCTTAAATCCTATTACTTACTCTGTCTCACAAGGAATATTTATTTATGTATTTACCAATTGTCTGTTTATTGTCTATAGATATTTCACATGTTCCTTATTTTCAAACTATAGCCACGAATCATCAAGGAACAATCGGTCAGATAACACAGATCGTTAGACACATTCCGCTGAGTCAGCATGCTTTATAAGCTTGCATCGTTTGTAGATAAAATCAAGAGTTTAATAGTCTATTTGTAAAAATAATATCGTCAGGTTACTAAGGTATACAAAGCGAGGGGTCTTCTAATTGACATTTTATAGAATTAACTTCTGCTCGTATTTTGTTTGATCTGTTTTAGCTGTGGAAGTCTCTACTAACTAAGTAGGTAGGTAGGGAGCGTTGACAACTCAGTCGAACAATGATTGACTGCGGAGGGTATGTAAAGCTGTTACAGGATAAGTAACGGATTTACACAAATATGTTTTGATATTGGTGTTTTTAGCCGTATGGTCCCTGCATGGAATAGGTCATCCCTTCCTTTCCCGTGGGTGTCGTAAAAGCCGACTAAGAGAGAGCGAGAGATGAGCAGCAGCGTCCTTCTTAAAACATTTCTAAAGCCTGATTGCGTTTGCCAATCCACCTACCACGCATGGCAACTACTGGCAAAACCCCCCAAGTGGGAGGGACAGTTTCAGCAGTGGACAGTTAAAGGTTCTGATAATGATTGATATCTTTCTGATATCGCGCCAGGAGGATTGTCCAGAGATGACATCCGTACACTGTTAACCGCCTGCGCTCGTGTACAAAAAAGTTTGCCAAATTCTATGTGAACTGTACTGTAACAATGTAACCACGGATCCTTTAAATGTAACGTTAAAAAGCACTTAGTGAGTCGACATAGTGCGGTCAACCGTTGAGAGTAAATCATTCTTTTTTCAGTTGATCGTATTCATGGACCATATTGTCTCTGTATTGGCTGAGGAAGGTCGTGCTATAATAAAAAAAAAAAAAATATGCCGCTTGTAACCTAAATGCTTAATATGTTGGATTTTAATAATAGGGATATAGTCGGATCTTTTTTTTTTAATGGATGAAAATGGAATGGTAACCTCACCCGTGCCATCGGAATACACCAGCGGGATACCAGTCAGAGATGATAGGTGAGGATGAAGCACGTCAGTTAGCCCATCGTGACGAATTCAACAAGAATTGTTCACGATGGTTTCCATGGGGAACCACGTAGAGGTCGACTTAATAGGGCATATTTCTAGCAATGGGGCTGTCAAACTCCATTGCTAACAATCCCTTTCCCCCCTATAGCCGGATCTGTCTCAAGTGCGTTTGTTGTACACTATATGGCAATAGCTATTCCTATCTTTAGGCAATTGTTATCACTTTTAGTTGGGGAAAAAGGATTATTAGTAATAGGGTTTAACAGCCCCCACTATTATAACTCACTGTTACTCCGTCAGCGGATAGCGCAGGTACCATTCCTATATTACAAATTAAAAACTTCCCATCAGTCAACTTGTTTGTCATTCCATATTGTACAAACATACAAGCTAATTATAGCGGTTATAGACTGTTAATAATAATAATAATAATAATAATATTTATTTAATTAGACTACAAGGCCCATTTTGTTAGTTACAAATTGACTTAACCTATGTTAGTAAATGAGCGGTGATAACGCTCTTACATTGATAACCTGTCCCACCCAGTATTTTAGGATGGGACAGTCCATTTTATCAGCAATTGTCTTCAGGACACTGTTTGAGCTAACACGCACCCTACCCAACAGCGAAACAATTCGTTTGCGTCGTATTGCGTAAAAATCATCTGTACGCTCCCGTGCAAACATGTGTGACGCACTACAGTGACTAGGTAGCCCCAACAGTGCCCTGAAGGCATTATTATATTGGACTCGAAGAGCATTGTAAGTTTTTTGACTATAGTTGACCCACAAGCTACTTGTGTAGAACACCTGACAAAAAGCTTTAAACAGGGTTATTTTTACTTGTTTTGTACATCTAGTAAACCTGCGGGCCAACATGTTACTTCTAACTGCCAATGCTCTTCTTTCTCGTTCTATATCCAGGTCATCTTTTAAAGTATTTGAAATAATGTGACCGAGATATTTAAAATCAGTTACCACGTCAAGTACATTTCCATTAAGTGATATAGGAGGCACATACTTCGGTTTTTTATGTCCAGATACAAATGTCATAATTACACTTTTGCTAGAATTATATACCAGACCATGGTTTTTCGCGTATGCTTCACACACAGCTAGCATTTTTCTTAAAGCTCCAATTGAGGGGCTCAGCAGTACCATGTCGTCGGCATAGCTTATGTTATTGACGCTTACTCCATCAATATAACACCCAGCATGCATTCCGCTGAGCTCCTCAATTAGACCATTTACATACATATTAAACAAGTTGGGTGAAGTCAGCCCACCCTGCCTCACTCCGCATTTTAATCGGTATGAGTCTGATAGAGTATCATTCCACCTCACCTGATTACTTTGATTATTGTACCAATACTCAAGAACTCTAACTAACTCTGTAGGAAGCGTAGTATTATCAAGTTTACTCCATAAAAGATCATAAGATACCATATCAAAGGCTTTACTTAAATCCAAGAAACATACATAGACTGGAGTGGATCTGTCTGTGTAGTATCTGACCGTATGCTTGAGACACAGAATGGCCGATTCAGTCGACACCCCCTGCCTGAAGCCAAATTGAAGGTCATGCAAGTTTAGATGTCGTCTAAGTTGCGTATCAAGTAAACCGTCAAACACCTTGGCTGTTATTGTAGCCAGTGATATAGGCCTATAATTACCGCTGTCCGATACATCTCCCGTCCTGTTCTTAAGTATTGGTACAACAATCGTTTTCAACATATCCTCTGGTAGGTATGTATGCCCAATACAAAACGTGTATAACATTGAGAGTACCCTGGGCAAATGGTCCCCAGCTGCCTGAAAATGCTCTATACTAAGGCCATCATGCCCAGGGGACTTTCCTCTTTTCATGTTCTTTATAATAAATTCAATATCTTTACATGTAAAATTATGCATTTGACCTACTATCTTCTTACTACAAGCATTTGTAGTCGACTGTAAGTTTTGTTGACCTAAAGGAGATGTTACTCTAAAATTATTTTTAAACATATTAGCTATTTGTTTAGGACAATTAATACCATTAATATTTACAGGAAAACTAGTTTTACCGTTTAGACTATTTGTCGCTCTCCAAAACCCACTAAAGTCACTTCTGGAGCGGCAAAGAGCAATTATATCCATTTTTATTTGGTCTTGATTATTTTGACACCATTTTAGTTTACTTTTAAATCTCTTACGACTCTCATACATTTCTTTATACATAATACCCTCAGTTGGTTTACCATATAATTCCCATATCGAAAACTTAATTCTAGCCTCATTATGTGCCTCCCTTACATATTTATTCCAACCAGTTACACATCTTCGCCGCCCAACAGGCCTGTCGTGACTTCGAGCTGCAGCTTCTGCTAATGTATTTACTATATTACTGTATAATTGGTTTATTATGGTCTTATGAATAGGATCACTGCACTCTCTATCACAACAATTAGCAAGCTCAGATGGGAACTCAATTTCACTTAACTTTTTATTACAATAATTATTATAAAATACAAATACAAATACAAATACAAAGACTTTACTGTGGATCATAGGTTAAATTAAGGTATTACATGAGTTAAATAGTATCTCCATGTCCTGCTATATAAGCGTACAATATATGGAACAGTTAACAGTATACAAAACATAACATTTAAAATTATACAGTGAAACAAAATACATTTATATGAGACATTATTTTTTACAAATGATGACTATTTATCTTTATCATTGATATATTCGTCCAGGCTATAATAACATTTATTTATTAATATATCATGAAGGTTCTTTTTAAAAACATTTACCTCAGTCAATCCTCGTATATGTTTTGGTAAGTTATTATAAATTATTACAGCTTTACAAAATATGCTGTCCTTCATCAATTTTGTTTTAGATGGTACTACACATAATTGGTCAATATGCCGAGCTCTAGTGCGAAATTTAAATTTATCAATATTTGTTTTTACAAAATTAGCACACTCATAAATATACAAACAAGGCACTGTCAATAATTTTAATTGTTTAAAATGTGGCACGCATGTGTCCCGCCTTCGCAAATTACAAATGGCCCGTATGCAACGTTTTTGATATTTCAAAACGATATCTTTATTAGTAGAGTTTCCCCAAAACAGTATGCCATACCTCAATAAGGAACCTACATGTGCATGATATGACGATAAAACTGTTTCCATATTAACAATTTTACGTAGTTTATACAAAGCATATGCATATTGACTTAATTTTTTACATGTATGCTCAATATGAGTTTTCCAATTAATTTTATTGTCAATGTATAGTCCCAAAAACTTTGTTGTAGTCGTTTCGTCAATAGTTTTTCCATTGTAACTAATGTCAAATTTAATTTCATTATCATGTAGTCGCTGTTTAAAATACATTAATTTGGTTTTTTCGATATTTATTTTCAATTTATTAGAATCAAGCCATTTATTTATTAATGTCAAAGAATTAATAATCTTAATCTTTAAATTAGCAATGTCATTGTCTGATATTAAAATAGTGCTATCATCTGCAAATAAAGTCATATGGTGTCTAGTAGTTAAGGGCATGTCATTTATATATATAATGAATAAAAGTGGTCCTAAAACGCTTCCTTGTGGTACTCCTTTAATTACCGTTCTAGAATTTGATATATATGTTTCTTCTGTTTTTGTACTAATATGTATTTTATTTATGTAAGTCATTTGTGATCTACCTGATAAATATGACTTTATTAGGCTTAAAGCAATTCCTCTTATTCCATAATTATATAGTTTTGAAAGTAATATATTATGGTCAACATTATCAAAAGCCTTAGTCATATCTAAATATATTGCAACACTTGATAATCTACGATCCATACCCGATATTACTTTATTAAGAAATTCATAAAGAGCTATATTAATGGATTTATTCTTTCTGAAAGCATGTTGTTCAGGAGCAAATAATTTATTTTGTTCAAAGAATTTATATAATATATTTATATATAATGAATTTATATATTATATAATTGTATCTGTTCATAGTCTCTAATTCCCCACAATATTTTATTACAATGTCTTCCATTTATTGCTATTTTTGATTGCAATATATTTATGTTACATTTTATTTGAATAGGGAAATGATCAGACCAATATATATCATAAAGTATATTTATCTCTGTAATAGACTTCCAAGAAGCTTGTGTTACTAAAATATGATCTAACCAACTTTTTGTCCCATGTGCATCGCTAATAAAAGTATAACTATCCGAATTCAAACCTAATTTCTCTATATCCGCACAAATCAGCTGTTGTTCTGTACAGAAATGTAAAAGCTCCTTACCGAATTGTCCATCTGGGTGCGCATTGTAATCACCAAGAATAAATACAGTCTGCGAGTCATTATTCTCAACAATTGCACAGATCTCGCCTAAGCAGTGAGTGAATTCTGTTAAATTTTCACTATCGTCTGTGGGCATGTAAACACTCATAATAACCATTTGTTTATCACTAGTCTCTGCATTAATTGCAATTATTCGCGAACTTTCACATTTAATCACCGACACTGACCTGAAAACACTTTTCCGCCACAATATTGCGACACCACCAAACGGTCTACCGTGAAGAATGCCTACTGATGTGTCCACAGCAGACTTTCCAGAATATCCAAAATCATCATGAATGCTACCTAAAATATGTATATCATGAGGTAGAAGCCAAGTTTCCTGCAATGCGACTATATCCGCCCGTTCACATAAAGATTTTATGCATTCTACCGATCTTTTCATTGATTTACAATTGAAGGATATCAAAGTTAGTGTTCTATTATGCATTGTTATTTTGTATTTAAAAACTTGTCATCATTACCAGATGTCTTTTTAAAAGTAACAAATCGACGAAACGAAATTCCATCAGGCCATAGACCCGCATCCATAAATATAGATAATTTACTTTGCGGTACAAATATTTTATATGCATCATATTCCTTCTGAAATTTCATGCAAATTTTTTCTAGCGCTACAGACACCTTAGTTTTTTGCAAAATGTATGAAGATATGTCCTCTATGGAAGTATTTTTATCAACTTTATTTATAAAAAGCGGTATCTTTACATCTGCTGCTCGAAATTTTTCCTCCGGTTCTGTACTTGCTTGTCCTCTTTTCCCCATAAATCTATTTCTGAGTTTCTTTCTTTGTACAACTATCCAATCTTCTGACTTTTTTCCATTTTTCCATTTTCCGCCAGAAGCAATATCAGCAAATGATTTTTCCACTACTAATGGATGGGAGACTGAGTTGTGACTATTGGCTATGTTCACATCGGCCGCACTCACTTGCGTGTCCGCTGCTATGTTTTGTTTGCATCGATGTACTGTATCTTCTACCCTCGCACTTACGTTTTCTAATGTACTATTTATCAAACAATTAGATTGCGTTTTCGATTGAATATTTATGTTGCACTCGCTATTTATATTTCCATTTTTCTCTTCCTGAGAAATATGAAGCAATCCAATGGGTCCACTGTCGTAATGAAAATTATCAATAACATTTGCACACCCTCTCTTCGTGTTTATATATTGTGAGGGTTCAAAGTTATTCACAATTGAGGCTGATTTTAAATTTGCCAACTCATTCTTTATCAACTGTAATTCTTCCGTTGTAGCGCAGGTTTCCTTTACAGTTCGAACCTCCTGTTGCAACACGAGTATATCTTTTAATAATTTGGTTACATCTACGTGATCAAAACTTACGGAGGGTAATTTCTGCAAGTTTCTTGCGACAAAAATCGGAATTTTTTCGGGATCTATTCCTTTCAATAGTGATAAAATATCTTCTATATCCCGCTTCTCTTTACCGTCCTTTTTCCGCATAATCTTTCGTATCTTCGTATTGACAGAGTCAAATAACAAAGTCTTCGCTTCCCTGATCTCTTCACTCGAAAATGAAGTCGTAACAATACGAATGAGACTTTCCTCGTCCATAACATCACATTTATTTTGGACAAAAGATAATAGTTCACTAATTACAATATTACAATTATTGCATTTCAATATATTTGATGCCATTATGCTAAGCGATTTATAGACAGCGCTTTTGCACATCCGTACTCAATGAAACGTACGCAACGACTCCTAACTTGTTTACTTTTATTATTTTGACATAAATTTAGAGTCAGGATTTTTTGTGAATTTGTCAGTTTAACTTGCTATTAGAAATAATTATTTTAAATGCCTATTCAGATACTGAAGCTAAATATGATTTAGGGATGTGGCTGTCATTTGTTTTTTTTTTTTCAAAAAATAACTACCAACCACGTGTTCTAAAATATCAGCAGTGTTGACATTTTTATGTCCTCCCTTGTGTGAAGATCCGAAATAATTGTTCTTTTACGGTTTATTATGATACCAACGCGGTGTTTACTCACCGACGACAGTTTCATGGGGAGATAATAAAATTTATAGGGTCGATGGGAGTATTATGTGCATTATGCATATTCAACGTTATGCAAATTTTATTGTTTTTATTACAGATAGTTCAGTGCTTATGGTCATTATTTTAATTAAATATTATTTAGTTTATATAGTACCCTAGTGGCTGTATCAGTATATAGAGATATGGAACCTTAATAACTCATTAACGTTCTATTATTGGGCGTGGGTCTCTTTCCATTAGAAGAAGATAAACAAGCTGACGGTCCACCTGATGGAAAGTGGTAATTCTCACCTAATAACATGAGCAGCGTCATGGATATACATATAATACACTATAATTCTCATGCGTTGCGAATCTCAGGAATCTCAGGAATGAGAATTTGATGTTATACCTCTGTGTCCTGTAATTTCATTGCCATACGGTTGAATATCGTATTTTTTTGTCATACTCTGGTTTAATTTTAGGCTTTGTTTCTTAGTTTTTTCTTATGATAACCAGCGGATGAAACGGAGTGGTGACACTTTAAATATTTATTGCATCACCACATGAAAATAATAATACATTAAATATATAACTAAGGTGATAAATACATATATAATCGGAGGAAGATTTTATAAAATAAAGTCGTCTGTATATTCTACTGCTGAGAAACTGGACTTGCGTGACTATATTTAGTTCGAAGGGTGAAATTAATTGGTATAGCGGCGTATCAATGTAGTACTCAGAAATTATAACATATGGAAGGTACCATGGGCATTTCAAATAAAAATATGGTATTTAAAATATGCTATCACATTAAGAGGATGCCTGATGAAACCCGTAATTAATATGGAGCTGGCGAAAGTTACCATTTTCTATCAGACGAGCCGTTTTTTTTTAATGAGTGAGAATGCAATGATAATGCGCTATAATACATTGTGAGCACTAATAAATGATGATAGGTAAGGATGAAGTCAGCTCAGTTGGCTCATCACGGCGAATTCGATAAAGATGAACTATTATAGTTTCCAGGGGACCGCGTGGAGGTCCACTTGTGAGGGTATATTGCTAGCAGCAGGGATCGCTAGTGTCCGTTAGAGACAGTCTCACTATCTTCCCTTCTCAGATGTTGTGTCAGTTTATTGTGTTATTTGTCATTGTAAATTTCATAAATAAATCAGAATTCTTTGGAATGAACGAGTTTAATTGAGACAGATCTAAAAATAGATATTTTGACTTTGTTCCTTACCTTTAAAGGGAGATAGCATGAATAAAAACTAAATAAATAAAAAATAAATAAACACGGAATTTATTTGAACTAACCTGTTTAGTGTTTATCAAATATATTATAACGTTCAAGGGTAAATGGAGGTGAGGTAAATGTATTTGATGTAAACGAGTACACTGTTTCCTTAAAGTAAAAATCTTTGAGTACCTGCTTACTCGTTTATATAAATGTGTGAGTATTAATGTTGGAAGCTATTGTTATTGCAAAATTGTTATTACAAAGGTATGTTTTCTGAATTAATTTTTATTCACTACATTAGTATTTTTTTCCTGCTTTATGGCTCCGGCATAGAGCGGGCCACCCTTTCTTTTCCGGTGGGTGTCGTAAGACGTGACTAAGGGAACTTACTAGATGAGGGATGGGCAGCAATGTATCTCTTAAATCATCACCAAAGCCTAATTGCCGTTGTCAGTCTGTCTGCCAATTGTGACAACTACTGGAAAAACTCCCCTCAAGGTGGAGGCCTATGTTCGACAGTGGATAGGTAACTGCTGATATGATGGTGACATTATTTTTAGTCTCCGATTTTGTTAGTAGGTAATTAGGTATAATATGATGTTAAAAAAATCACAATTATATGGTATAATTATGTTAATAGATAAACTGACTTTCGAGTCATAAGGTTACTTATTTCAAGGTCTTCAATGGTAAACATCATGAATGTAATTTGTATGTTTTTCAATAAAGTTTATAATTTTTATTTTTGTTAAATAAAATTTAATTTTGATAATTTTATGTGAATGATTTTAAATATTTTCTAAACTCAATATTAAATGCAATTTAAACTATATTAACTAAATTAATAAAACGAAGACTATTGAAGGAAAATTACTTTATATCGTTATGTTATAAAGCAACACTTCCAAGTACGTTTTTTTTATGGGTGAAAATGGTATGGTAACTCCGCCTGCGCTAACGGAATACGCTGGCGGAGCACCAGTGAAGGGTGATAGATGAGAATGAAAACAGGCAAGTTAGCCGATCATGATGAATTTATCAGGAATTAACCTTGATAGTTTCCAGGGAGAACTGCGAGGAGGTCGACCTGGTTGGGTATATTGCTAGCAATGGGATTCTCAGTCTCCATTACTAACAATCCCTTTCCCCCACTTCCAAGTACTGTAAATATTTGTATCACTAAACATAAGATCGAACAAATGTTATTACATTATTATGAAAATTAAGTGGTCTAACTGCTTTGGATAAACTATACTCATTTATAATAAAATCATAGAGGAAGGTCAAGTTTACACGTACGTATTTTGTATCTGCGGGACGCTGATTCATTAATACAATATTTTGTTTTATTTGCTGTATGAATTACTCTTGCAACCGTTCGAAGATAAGTCAGTGTGTCAAATGATTTACAAAATTAACACCAGATGATATCTATTTACTCATACATCTATATCTGGTAGTCACAAAAGGAGAACACCAAGTTTACTCTAGAATCTAATATCGGTACCAATCCAATTTAATGCCTATGACAATTTTGTACTACAAACGTAAAATAACAATTAGGAATTAAGTTAAAAATGAGATCGGTTTGCAATAGTTTGTAGTAAGTAGTTTGTAATAAGTTGCACTAATAAGCGCCTATCAGAACTGTATGGAACCGATATTTTGCAAGTATTGCAATTTAAAAGTACAAAATATTTGAACTCTAATAACGATCTATTGGAGTTTATTTAAAGAATAACCTTACTGGCCTATGTCTGAAGATAGTAGACTTGGTCAGAATCTCATGAAATTTTTGTCGAAAAATGTAAAAGGATCAACAAGAACAACATTTAAGATAATATTTTTAAGAAGTTTTAGTGCGAGATTGGGTTTGTTAGCAATAACTAGCTTTTGTTTCATCAAGAATAGCTAATGATATTCTTATTCTTCGTGTTAATTGAAATCTTTGCTTTCATATATATTTGTATATATCTCAGGTGAGGATAATTGTGATTTATTAATTAAAACAAATTTTAATTTATTAGTTCTTTAAGTGGTACTGTGTGGAAGAATTTTTGGACATTAGAAATTATATTTGTTATAAACGCAGTTGTAAAGGGCATGCCGATTTCCAGAAGTATGTCGTTGGCGCTTGAGTTGATCACTTCTTGGGCAGTTTTTCCTGTGAAAATATAATAATTATATTGTAACAGTTATGCTACATTACGTATTAGAAGTTATAAGTCGGAGTTCTAACAGCTAAGCAGCTAACTCACGGAGCGAATCGTCATTATTCTTCTACATTTAAAAATTTCATGTAGTGTAGACGTGCTAAAAGCAATATAAAAATATATTATTTTGAGAGCGATCCTTCTCTGCTCATTCGCTACTAATTTTGTTTCTTGGGTTATTCTTTTAGTCTTATCACTCCTGTTTCTGTAATCTATTTCTTTCTTTGTTCTAATTGTTGTTTTGTTAGTTTAATTTAATTTTCACAAGAATAGCTTCTATAAGAATCCACCATTATAATTTTGGCTGTTAATTTTTGTTACTATTGAACATAGCACCCATGGGGTGCTACTGTCACAAAATACATAGAGATGCTAACGCATGCTACTATCGTAACTACTTTAGCTTTTAATTGTCGTTGTACTGCTAAACATAAGTCTCACCAATAATATGCTATTATCATAATTATTTCAGCCGTTAATTGTTCCTGTATTATTGAACATATGTCTCACCAGCAGGGTACAAAAACTGCATATCTGAGCTACTTGTATTTACTGAATTCCTGCAATGCATTTGAGCTCGTCGCTTTATCTAGTCATGAAGCTGTCCTACTACATTACTTTTAGCTATATATGAGAACATGACAAATTTTATATTTAAATAATTATTTGATATTTAGTTTGTTTTTATAAAGCACTATCTTTTAACAAGATAAATTTCAATAGTGAAATATACCTTAACACAGTTTATGACGGTATTAATTGTTCGGTTGAAAAAGTAGTAAAATATAAGCTTAATGCTTTCCTTTAATCATTATAAAAATAAATGTATACATACCTAATACTTCATTTCCATTGAAAAGGTTCTCGAAATTTAAATCACTTTTCTCTTTAATGTCGAAGGTATGCTTCCAGTTTGTAATGTCCCAGTGTGTTTCACCGTCTTTGCCAGTAATTTTTCCATATTCACCGGTAATTGTAAAAACAATCTTCCCTGCGAAATACGACAAAGTAAAAATTTTTAGACAATAATATTATTTTAGATTTTTTTTATTTATCATTTACAATGAAATGTAGTTATTGAGATAAAGGAGGAATTCGGCTATATTTTTTTATTATTCATTGTACTTATCATACCTACGTAAGATCAATGAACTGACTTTGTATACTTTTCTGATTGTCTCATGCCAATTGGATCCAGAATACAGTTTTTTGGGGAAAATAATTGTAAGTAGATGTTGTGACTTGAAACGAGTCGAAACCCGCTAACCAATTGTATATAATGAATATTTATATAAATAAATAAATGCTCACGGAAACGTAAATTAGGCATATAAACTTCCTCGAATTCATGATTAATCTTCATTCAATGATATTTCTCACGTTTTGCATTTGTATAATGCATTTTAAGAGTTGTTGACATAACCTCATAACGCCCTTCTACGAATTGGTCAAGAATTAATTACCTGTACTTTGAACTGTTTTGATCTTGACTTTGCCCTTGACCTTGTGATATCACGTAATTTGCATAATAAGGTAATAACTGATTTAATAAACTGACAAGCAATGGCAATTTGTAGTATTACTACAGCCATATTACATACGATGCTATTGAAATAATATTAATAATTAATTAATTTATTGAAATTAGTAATTAATTAATTAATTGATAAATCAATTGTCAAATAATCAATGTAACAGTCAGTATAAAATATTACTTTTAATATTTTTTATAATGATTTAGAATATCCTGATCTTGTATTCGACTTATATCTTAGTGTTGTTAACATTTAAAACTTTTGAAGTTTATCTGTTTCTTTGAAATATGAAATAACGTTAAATCAAATTAATCAAAGCTATGGCGGTATGTTTGTTTCTTGCTACGTTTGAATTAAACATCCAAGGTGAAATACGGGAATATTCCGTGTTATATCCCGTATTACTTCGGAAACAATCGAAAAATGTCTTTAACTAACTTATTTATAATTGTAGTTGTGAGTAAATTTACTTATTTTTTTACATATATATTTTTTGTGCAATATAGAATGGCAAACAAGTTGACGGTCCACCTGATGGAATATGGTAGCCGTCGCATATAGACATGAGCAGTACCATGGACATAAAAAAGTATACTGTTTCGTCCATGATACGCTCCATACGTTGCCATTCCTGAAGGCTCAGGTGTTATTTCTTTAAACCCTGTAAATTCACTGCCATATCTCACTCTTCAAATCGAAACACAGTCACGCAAACACGACTGCTTCACGGTGGTGGTGGAGAAAACACGAATGGCAGTTGGGGGAGAAGGGATTGTTAGTAATGCGGATTATCAGTTTCATTGCTAATAATATACCCTAACAGGTCGACCTCCCCATGGTCTCCCCTGGAAACCATCGTGCTGAATTCCAAGTGTATTCATCACGATGGGCTAACTGTCCTGCCTTTTCATCCTCACCTATCATCTATCACTGGTGCCCCGCCAGTGTATACCGTTAGCGCAGCCGGGGTTACCATTCCATTATCATACATTAAAAAAAAAAACACGAATGGCACAGACGTGTCCAAGCAAATGACTTTTGTACACAGTCTCCCTTTGGTGAATGATTATAGCTTACAGACTAAAAGAATGAAGCATGTAAAAAAAGCATGTAAAAGTATATAAATAAAAGTATGTAACACAGTTTAATTACTTCCTCTGAGAAATGTCAGGGCGATAATAGATACCAGTTTATAATGTCATCTAGTTTATAAGTAAACAATCGAGTTTTATTTTTATCTGATGATTATGTGGCGAATAAAAAGTATGAATACCAGTTACAACTTATTTTGATTTGAACTGCGATATCTTTTTTTATAACTTGGAATGTTAAAAAAAAACTTGAATGTTCCCTTTATGGAAATTGGTAGTCATCGTGTACAGATATAATGTAAACAACTTCACTAATATGTGTATTTTTTTAATGGGTGACTATGGAATAGTAACCTCGCCTGCGCTGTCGGTATACACTGGCGGGGCACCAGTTAGGGATGATAGGGTAGATGACGATGAAAGTAGGTCAGTTAGCCCATCATGACGAATTCCACTAGAATCAACCACGATGGTTTCCATGGGGGAACCGCGTGGAGATCGACCTGATAGGGTGTATTGTTAGGAATTGGACAGTTAGACTACTTACTAATAATCCCTTTCCCCCAATATTTATATTAGGTAATATCACAGAATACGCTGTGACAAAGATAGTGAAATTATTAAGAAGACCTTTTCCCTTGCCTTGAAAGCAAATGCCTTTTTTATTGTATTCCACTACTACATAAATCAAACATCCTTTTTTTTGAAATATTTAAGTACTCCATAAAGGGGAAGGCAGCCAGCGTTTCGCACGATAACGGCGATTTCATATCTAATTTTTATTTGTTGCAAATATTTAAATTAATAATATTTATTTTATTTTAGTTATTAAACCCGACTTCAAAAAAGTAGGAGGTTTTCAATTTGATCCTATCTTTTATGTTTGTTACCTTATAACACTGTCGTTTATAAACCAATTTGGAAAATTCTTTTTTTATTTGAAAGGATAGACTTTCAAATTGGACTCATAGTAATTTTTATCTAAATTAAGTAGTTTATAAATAGATTAAGTAGTTTCTTAAATAAAATAAACTAATCAACTTTTTGAGGCATTATGCTCTATTTACATAATTTAATATCATAATATATTAATTAGCCGTTAATTATAATAATATCAATTCACTGCAAAATATAGGCTATCTCCATAAGTGGAATTTTGTCAGTAGTTGCCATGCTTGGCAGGCGGATTTGCAACCGTAGTTAGTCCTTGGAGATGTTTTAAGAGTGACGTGTATGGCAGGCAATATATGTATATACAGTTGAATTTCGAAGCTTATTATGAAGGAACTAAAAAAAAATTAGGTACTCACTGATAACTGCCGTTACTCTTCCTTTTCCTTGTATAGGGAGAATAAGTAACTGTCCATTCATTTCATAATTTCCCTTTAAATCTGCAGTACATTCAATTTTAAATAAAAATTTAGTCGGTTTGGAGTCATCGAATCTGGAAAATGGGAATGTGAATAACAAAATATATAGTAGAAAAACGATCCTTTTTTTAATATTATATATATTGCTGAAGTAAGATAAATTTTATAAATGGTATATTAGAAGAAAATTATAGTCCAATCTTATTTTGCCATAATGTAGGCGTGCAAATATTAAATTTATTACAAAAAAGAGGAAAACAAATATAATTAACTCATCGGAATCTAAAATAGACACATCTGTAATAATATTTGATAATTTATTTGTATACTTATTACTTATCTATTTATGTGTTGACAATTCAATAATGAAATAAATGTAATAATAAAAATATATATAATTTTCCTACTACGAATTGAATGATGATGAATTTCGTGAAATATTTAGGGCAGATAGGCGAACCAATTGTGGCACATGATGAAATAACCGATATTTATTATATCCGTTACTGGGCCAATATATAGATAATGTAGATACAATGTATATATTTATATATATTGCCATATGTCACCCATTCCTACATAACACTTTATAGTTATGTCACTAGATTTATTCAGGAAGAAGGTATAGTAGGAAGAAGTGTAAATTGATTTTACAATCGAGAAATCCTCAATAATAGGTATATGTTAATTAATGAAACCGAGATAATTTAATAAGGACTTTCTCAAGTTTAAATTGAATGAAATTATTTATGTAATAAATTATATTCAAATATGTGTTTATTCAAACGTTTTTACAAACTTTTACATTTTAGGACTGAATTTGCTCGGGTAGATAGGAAATAATATATAGCCTATTTTACTGACTAATATTGTAGCTTACTATAATTGAAAGAAATTTCAAAATTCTTTAAGAAATTTTTGAGTTTATCCATTGTAAACAAACAAATATCAAAACTTTTTTTTTATAGTTTTAATATATTGTCGTTACACAGTAAGTTTTTAATTTTTTTTTTTATACAACTCAGAATAGCAAACAAACTGACGGCCCACCTGATGGAAAGTGGTAACCTATAGACATGAGCAGTAAGTACCATGAACATAACAGAGTATACTGTTTCGCCCATGATACCCCCATGCGTTGCCATTCCTGAAGACTTAGGTGTTATTCCTCTGTACCCAGTAAATTGTGAGCCTGTAAGAGAGAAGCTGTGAAGTAAACTAATTATTTTGATAGCGGGAATCCGATTGAAATAAATATAAATATACGACCAGTCGATGGACGATACCAAAATTGGTGATGAACATTTTTTTCGCCATTAATATCCAAATATACCGAATATATAAATATGATGTCAGTATCGGTATTAATATAGGCTAGAGGAAAACATGCTGTGTCAACCCCCAAAAATAGAATAGATGCGAGACAATCTTAATATATGATATATTAATACGAGTAATTGATATTTAATTTTTACTTACTGTATTTTCTTTGCTATACAATTCTTTATTCCTGCGATAGAAAGGTCTGTGACTATGAGTTTCAAATTGGATGTCGAAGCATCGACTTTCTTCAATTCCATTGGTTCCAATGATTCGATTCCCATGTCGGGTATGCCATTTGCGAATATAGGGATAACTGCTTGAGTAGATTTCTTTATACATTTCGAGTCGTTCAAATTACACTTTGTTATAAACGGAACTGTAATTAAAAGAAAAACATGTTCATGACCGTTGTATTAACAAATTAAATTCACTGAAGCACTCGGGTCATCCTTCAAACCCTCTCTATAGCCGGTTATTATAATGTCGATCAGGTATATGCCATGGAACATTTGATAATATCTAGCACTCTAATTATATATTATGTAATTACTTATTTTCAAAAAGTGTATTGACAAATTCTATGTTAATTCTCTTATTTTTACTATAGAGTTCAAAACTATTCAATAATTTACGATAGTAAGTGTCATGAGAGTAAGTATAACAAAGATTTTCTTTAATATATATTATTATCTATTAGTTTATAAAGATTGATAATACTCAGATTGCTTTTACGATGACTTAGCGTGAATATGAATATTGATATAAATTAAAATAAAAACGTATCATTATTTTTTATATTAAGATTATGTTAAATTTAAAAAAAAGGCAGAATTCTAAAGATCAGAGTGTAAGGCCAGGAAATAAAAGTTTAACAATAAATTGATCAATACACAAATTTGTAATTTATATTAAAAGTATAGAAAGAATATTTTTGGGTGTAAATTTACCTGAAGTAGAACTGGCAAGGTGACCAAACGCATACAAACATATTAATGAAAAAAGATTGTACATTTTTATCAAAACGTATGAACCACAACCGAACGTGTGTAAGCACTACTGTATTATAAAGAGATTTTTTACCGTAACGACGTTTTTATAAGGTCGATTGTGTACATTGACTCGTTTAACATAGGTAATATGCGGCTTCAAAGCAAAATAACCAACTGGGCTGGGTCGCGTTCGGAAAACTACGCCACATCCTGTCATCCAAAACATCTAAAAGTTTGAAGGCGAAGGTTTTTAAACAGTGCATGTTGCCAGTGGCCGGTGGTCTTGGTAAAATAGGTCACCTCTTCCTATCCCGTGGGTGTCGTAAGAGCCGACTAAGAGAGGGCAAGGGATGGGCAATAGTGTCCTTCTTAAAACATCTCTAAAGCTTGACTGGGGTTACCAATCCGGCTATCAAGCGTGGCTACTACTGGTAAAACCCCCCAAGGGGGAGGCTTATGTCCAGCAGTGGACAGTTAAAGGCTGATATTATAATGTTTTGCCAGTGTGACTACATAGGAGTAGTGACGTTTCAAATAACGTGATATAGAAGCCGAAACGAGGATATCCTCAATAAAAAAAAAAAACAAAGTAATCGACATAGCTTGAAGGACAAGGAAGTTGAAGTCTTAATGGGCTGGTCACATTGCTCGAAGAACCTACAAACGATGGGAAAGATCTTGAGTGGCAACTCCGTACGGATAAACGTAGTATAGGACGACCGCCCACTAGATGAAATGATGACATATAATGCATTTCAAGGAGTCAGTGGCTCGGGACCGTTCCTTATAGCAGTCTATGGTAGTGGCTTATATTCAGCAGTGGACAGATAATGGCTGAGATCATGAGATTCATCATTTTCATAAAAAATTGAGTTATTATTCGTCAAAATTTGATTAAAAAAAACTTATTTACTAAATATACAATCAGGACTTAACGCGATGAAAAAGCTTTTACAGGTAAATAGTACATATATACCTGCTTCTTTATTGCCGACGTTTCGACGTGGATTGCACCACGTCGTGGTCACGACAGGACTGAAGTGAGCAGCGTCTTCGTCTGGCAGCTCGCACAATATCTTCGGGTACCCTCACATTGTCATTATTATTATCCAGAGCCATCTTCTCATCATCCAAATGTGATTTTTTTTATACTACTTTAGTGACAAACAAGCGTACAGTTCGTCTAATAATAAACGAGGTTACTGTAGTCTATGGATGCCTGTAACGCCAGGTATGTTTTGCACGCGTTGCCTACTTTTAAGAAACCTTATTGTCCTTTTTGAAGAACCTCATGTTGTAGTCTCTAGAGAGAACCTCGGCTGGAAAATCACTCTACAACTTGAGCATTCGTTCGAGGAAGTTCTTCTGAAACCGCACTGTGCATGACCGTTTTGATTCCAAGGTGCTCGATTTGATTCCAATATTTCAAATAAGGCTGAGATTCCAGTTTCTCCTTAGATACATATTGTAATTTTTCATCTATTTCTATTTGAAAAACATGCCGACAAAAAAAAACACGGTTAACGAGTCTAACGAGTATGTGCTTACGATATCTCGACTGACAAATATATCGATGATTATGTTTGTCAAATATTTGTTTTTATTGTTTTATAAGTAAACAGTTATTATAAAATTTTCCGTATTAAACTCAAAATTACAACAAGGTCTTTTTTTCTGTACTGATAAAGGTTGAGCATTTTAACATACAGTAGGAAGACACGATGAATATTCATTAGGACATACTACCTATTTACTATAGTTTTACGCGCATAAAAACCGTTATTTATGTATCTGTGGGAAGTTCAAATCTAAAGAAGTTTAAAATTTAAATTAAAAGAAGGGGAAAACTTAGGTTATTTGTAAGTGTCTGACGTCTATATTTCCGTCAGGATAGGAGATACGGTTCGGATGAAGCCGCAGGTAAAATTTAGTATTATTCTTAGGAACATTATTTTAAAAAACATCCGCAGAACTACTTTGTTTCAAATATGCATATATAAGTGACTTTTCCTTATAATTAATTTCCTTATAATAACTATTGTGTATGGACAATAGAATTGAGGTTGGCATTTTACATATCCTATTAGTTGAATTAGCTAAATTTACAGATAACAAAGAAAATACTTTTGAGAATACTTCATTGTATTGCTTAATAGTAATCGAGCAGATAAAGTTGTGGTAAAGAAGTCGTATCTTATCATATCATTATATCAGCCTTCGCCATCCACTGTTGAACATAAAGGAACATAAGCCTTCCCTTGGGGGGGGGGGGTTGCCACGCTTGGCAGGCGGATTGGTAACCGCAGTTAGGCTTGGAGATGTTTTAAGAGGAACACTGCTGCTCATCCCTCGTCCTCCCTTAGTCGGCTCTTACGACACCAACGGGATAGGAAGGGGTGGCCTATTCTATGCCGGGACCACACGGCCAACACAAGTAGTCATCGATAAACAATGTCAACTAGATACCTCACAAACTAAAATAGAAATCAAACAATTCTTATGTGAACATGAAATATATTTAAAAGTTTAATGATTTCAAACTTAAAAATTTAATGCACATAATAATGTGCAATTTTAAATTATAAAAGAAGTGTGAGTCGTTATTCTCACGGTCCACTTTTAATAAATATTTAGTTATTACTGTTCATTAAAAAAATATAATTAATATTTTTTATCGTAATTCACGTAGGAAAAGTCGCGGAATAAAAAAAATTGTGATTACTTACGACAATCGAATGATAAATTTGTTGAAAGATATTCAATCGTTTAGTCATTAAAAGCCTTTAAAGAGAAATATACATTATTAGTAGACTGGTAAAGAATGCTACTATACGTAGTATTTTTATGATATAACAGTGCAAATATTATTGGTCATTATTATATACATAATTCTTCACATTCCAATATGCGGAAAACCTACTGACCTTGGTAATATTTGAAAATAAAGATTATTTATAAATTGTATAATCTAAGGGGTTTGTTACACTAACAAATATGAAGGTGTAAGTGACATTATATATAATAAAAAGTGTTATGTTGACGACGACAATCTAAATAGTCTAATCGATGACTTGTGATTAATCTAGGGCTGAAAGTATATCTATGATAGTTACATTATACTCGTAGCCCTGTAGTCTCGGCATAGAATCTTCCACCCCTTACTTTCTCGTGGGTGTCGTAAGAGGCGACTAAGGAAATTTAATGGTAGAGGGATAGATAACCCGACTGCCAAGCCGGGACTACTTTTATGGGAGAGCCCTATGTTCAGCAGTGGACGGTTGATGGCTGATATAATGATGGTGATGATACATTATATATATATATATATTTATATATTCTTGTTAACATTATTTAAAACTTTATTCGGAAACTATTGACATTGGAAGCGGCACTATATAGTATCATAATGATAGCCAATAACCGTTAAATATATAGATTACATAAAACTATTATAATGAAAAAGTATTTTAACAACAGCTTTCGTAAATTGATATAAATAAGCGGTATCGCTACGCAAAAAGCTGTAACATGAATCCCGGCAAAATTAATATGCGATACAAAAATAATTATATAAATTGGTTTGCTAAAGATACCTATATTATATATTAATATTTATATTAATAAATAAATAAATATTGTATTGTAAATATTTTGTATGGTCCCACCATAGAATGGGCCACTTCTTTGTTTCCCGTGGGTATCGTAAGTGGCGACTAAGGGAACTTAATAGTCGAGGGATAAGCAGCAGCATCCTTTTTTAAATATCACCAAAGTCTAACTGCAGTTACCAATTCACTATTGGCCAAATCCCCCTTATAGGGAGGGCCTATGTTCAGCAGTGGACTGTTAACAGCTGATACAATATAAATATTAATATTTATACGCTAGCTTTTGTTGTGCACATGGATTTTAGAATTAGGAAACCATGAACCTATTTGTGGGGGGGGGGGGGGTGTTATTAGTAATGGAGACTGAGAATCCCATTGCTAGCAATATACCCAACCAGGTCGATCTCCTCGCGGTTCTCCCTGGAAACTATTCCGTTAGCGCAGGCGGGGTTACCATAACATTTTCACCCATCAAAAAACCTATTTGTAGGCGGCGTATTAAGGTAAAGTATGTTTTAAAAAGTCTCACCACATTTTAAGTTAGATCTTTAGACGCATAACTGTGGAAATAGCATTCAATTTGATGGAGTAGTTTTTGCGTGATTACAGAACAAACATTAATATGTTATTTTTGGCACCATACAATTTTTAAAATTCTTATCTATCTTATATTTATTATATTATATAGGCAGATAAAAATTCTTTAAAGATATCTAATAGAAATTTATATATGGAATGGACAAATATTTAATCTTATTAAAGATAATAAAAAACAAAACATATTGTTTTAATAAGATAATTTTTAAAAATATCTCTTTCTCATATATACATTTTTATTAAATAATTTCTACTACCTAGTGACCAGCCCCGGCTTCGCACTGGTGTACATTACATTACATCATATTACACACCTCTAAAATTATTAGTGTCTCTCTACTATATTATGTATGTATTATACATATAAACTTTCCTCTTGAATCTATTAAAAAAAACCGCATTAAAATCCGTTGCGTAGTTTTAAAGATCTAAATATATATAGGGACAGATAGACGGGAAGCGACTTTGTTTTATACTATGCAGTGATTGTTTTAGTTTTTATTGCTTTTAATAAGATAATTTTAAAAAATATCTCTCTCCCATATATAAATTTCTATTGAATACTTTCCATGTACAGACATAGTTCAATTACAAATTTATTATATATGTAGATGGATGTAGATAGGTCAAAACATTATCCTCTTTTTTGAGCAGTCAGGTAAGAGTTCAAAAACCTTTATAACTAATTTGTGTGATGCATTAGGCAATATACTTTGTGAAAAGAAAGCGCCTTATCGGCCCTATACAGCATCAGAAAGATTGAATATAAATAGAATTTGGCCAAGTTTCGGCATGACGATAAACGTATACAAATTTAGGTGTTTGGGCCTATCCAACGGCGGCGAGATAAAAGCAAAGTTCCTACAAAATGGATTGAGACCGAGTTTTATCAGATTCTG